TAACTGCTAGAAATATCAATCTCTTATTGTTGAGAAACTTGTTAACACTAGTTATTAATTTGTACATAATCTGTATATTTCAGTAGGTTTCAAGACTTTATAAATAACACCAACAGCCTCCAATTCGGACAACGTTTTATATTTTTAAATAGCATCCACACTTTACAGAGGGTCCCTTACTGTCTTCAGCACCTGCTTCATCGATTCCAGCTACTTTTAGCAAATGTACTTGGCCAAATTTTAGGATCGGGATTCTGAATCTAATGATTGTAGTTTGTTCTCTGTTTTAACACAACAACACAAAATTTAGGAGCTCAACCAATTTTACCAAGCTTAACACGTTATTTAAGGATAATAAACTGCGATTTAGGGGTTAGGGCAGAGAGAGAAATAGTCAGTGGTCCAGAATAAGTTGTAATTGATTTTACGTCACTTACACTGAACTTCCTCATTTGTTTTGCTGGGTTTATAGGAAGTGCTGAGCTAAACTTATAAATCAAATGCATAAAACTTCAGTTACAATCTGCTCAGTCTACTACTTTATTTAGCTTTATTAATACCATTTAGACACTCTGATTATAGCTGTGGATATTTTGCCATTCTTACCTTTTCTTCTTTTGTCTTAACTCCTGTTTCTGTGTGGAACATGTCGCGTCACAAGCTTCTGTAGATGTTGATAAAATGAGCTGATAAAATACAGTATTTCCTGTTATCTGTGAGATTTTGTAGCGGAGAAGATTACGGACACATGATGAGGGTGAATTACTGCACAGTTTTTCTTCACTCGCCTGTTTTTTTGTTGTTGCCTTTAGTCTGCCTGAAATTCTAGATCTGTTTCCTGTTTTAAAGCTCTCTGGGTTTCCCCACCCTGTTTCTGAACTGTAAACAACTCCTCAGGCTTGTAAATTCCCCACAGCATTCAGTCTGGCCTCTAATGATTCTGAACTCAGTACTAGTCTGTTCTTACTCAGTGTGGTTTCGAGGAGTTGAAGATTAATTATTTACAAGGCTGATCAAGATCTTTTACTTTAAAATGTTAACAGAGATCAGATTACAGTCTTCAGTGACTCCACACTGCACTCATACTGCTGTATGCAAAAGTTAGTGCACCCATGGTCAAATTCCAAGTTGTTGTTGATTTTATGTGTATGAATAAGTAAGACATCCTCTACTGAGAACACACTACTGCACATTTTCATATGCAATGGCTGTTTCTTTGCCATACGGTTTCCCATATATTGTGGGAAAAGATTAAAAAACAAAATCTGGCCTGTGCAACGTGCAGACGTGTGATCTCTGTACAGGATGTGTTAACTTATTATCACTTAGAAAATCAACTAGTCTGGTAATTGGTGTCCACACTTTTGCATACAACCGTATGACACTGAAATGAGAGATACTTTGCATTGACCTGATTTTAATATGTACATCATTTCCACATGAATAAAATATTTCACAACAACACAATTATTTCATATTCACAACCAATGGAAAAATGTATTTAGTATCTTAACCCCAAAAAGTATATATTTGTGCTGCTCTCATTTTTTGAGTTAACTGAACTTCAAATAATAAGTTGGTCGAAGAAAAATTTGCTGCTTGCAGATCCACAAGTGCACTTCTAGGGGTCTACCTCTTCCTTTTCCTTATCATCCACAGTAGGATGCTTATACATGTCCCTCAGAAAAACAGTGAACCCTTCCATGTGTAAATTTGAGCACAGTAAAATATTTCATATGAATTAATATAAAACTGTAAAACATAATGAAGCTGGTTCACCAACTGTGATGCTTATTTAGCCTAGTTCATGAGCCATTCATCACCAGAGCTACACTGTTGCCTTTGTAGGAGGAAGTGCCATAGTTCCTGTTGTGCTTTAATCTGGAAATGTTGTGGCACCCCCTGTTGGGAACAGCCAAGAAAACCAGTGACCAAAATAACACCAGCAGTATCTGATTTTATAATAATATATAATATTGTTATATAAAGTGTAATTTTGTAAATATAAACAGCTCTAAAATGCTGTTATATTCAGCTGTAATTCTCATATTTAGTTGCTAGCAGTGAATCATTTCTGATAAATGTGATTTACTGAAGATCAGTTTTTACTGAATAAGAAGCAGGACTGCGACAAGCACAAATTAAACACTCTACAAGACCTGAAAATAATGAACTTGGATTTCAACACCTTTCCTCCTATTAGAGCAGGGGTGTGAAACTCACTCACTAAAACCATTATTTAAAAAAAATTCAAAGGGTCAGAGAAGACCTGTGTTTTCATTTCATTTTAAATAACATTTTGCTGTAACATGAACTGGCCACTGTTTATTCAAAATATGCCAAATGTCGATAGCAATATTATATGTGTGTGTATATATATATATATATAAATATATATATAAAATATACCTGTTAAACCTCTTTCAATGTCCCCAGCAGGCAGGTCTTTTAAACCTGTGTGCTTGATCTACACACCTGGCATCTTCTCTTTGCGGCAAGTTCTCAGTTTTATTTATGTTGGTTGAACTGGTGTCGGACTGTGGTCTCGTAATGTACCTGTTGTCCCATAGATTGTTGCTGGGGGAGGGGGAGAACAGTACATGTTTAGGATTGTAGTGCAGCTCATTGTGAAACAGGCTAATATTAAAAGTAAATTAAAATAATTTTGCAGGCTGATAAGACTATGCCACAGGCCTTGTGTTTGACATATGGGTATTATACAGAAAAATGAACCAGACATTGTTCATTTTCCTCTGATGCTTGCTTCTTATGCAAGATTGTGAATAAACACATCATCATTAACAAAAAATATTACAACCAATTAAATCTGACCAAACTAAATACATGATCTGATTTCTTAGTAGACTTCTACCACAATGTACACAACATAGAAATCAACAGACAGTGTAAGAAAACTCCTCACTCTGTAAATGGTTTAGTTGATCTTTAACACTGAACTCTGGACCTAGTATAGCAGAATTTCCAGACTGCTTGGTCCCCTGTTGTTCCCCTTTGTATTCAGTTACACTTTATCAGTCATTGTGCTTGTGTTTTATGTATATGTTTTTTTTACATCTTCAAACTTCTGCAGACTTCCTTGTAAGGTATATTTAAAATAGCCACACACTTTCTCACCTCAGCTAAACAAAGCCAAATTCCAGCATTCCAGAGCTTTGTGAAAAAAAAATGAATGAACCTGCCTGTCGAGGTAAACCATTAATGAATACTGCCCTCTTTCCCTTCAGCCTGGCTTTAATCGAACATGGAACATTTGCCACTTTCACAGGTTTTAGAATAAAAAGTCTGAGTAAAGGAATTCTATTGTAATTCAGACTTTTCTCCGGGCTGTTCTATTCTGAGGTTGTTAAATAAGCTTCTGTTTATCAGAGTAATGCTACCTGATGCTGTTACTATTGTTTCTGTTAATAGTGAATACACTGCATGTAAATATAAACATGTAAGAACATAGGATTAAAAATGCAAATCACAAACATGGAGAAATAAGAGGGTAGATCTCTGCTGTGACACCTCATACAAAGTATATATAACCAAGAAAAATAGCAGTTCCAGTGAAAGGAACTTCACTATATTGACATCACTGCCACCTACTGTGCATCACTGGATCTTGCCAATAACAACAAATGTTCAAAGAAATGCTACTTCAGGCACTTGACATGGTGAACTTTAGTTTTAATGTCCAACTTTGCTATGCTTTTTTAATGACTGGATAATAAATAAATAAAGGAAATAAAGGAAACTCAAAACTGAAAAAAACAAAACCTTTCAAAGCAGTAAAACAAGCCCACACAATAAGAAATTGAAAGAGAAAGAATGACATTCACATATACACAATGGCTGAGACCTAAACGGATCTCTCTTTGTGTTTTAAGGCACCACTGAGTACTTGTGCCATTTTTCTCTTAGTGTTTGAATTGTAAAATTAAAACAGAATTCCACAGTCATTTTGAAGGCACTAAATCTCCCACAATGCTCTTGTAATTTCTAGTGAATGCTGTGAAGCTGAATGCACCCCATTGCATTGTGATTTACTTGTTATTAAGTAACAGTCAGAGAAATGGTACATTAATGCAGGCCACTGGGCTGAAAACCAAACTTTACAGACTGTCTGGACTTTCTGAAGAAACTAGAAAAACTACAAAAAAGTTCTATACAGTTAAAGAAAGAACCTGACTCTGCTCATCATATAGCTACAGCTCACTGCAGACATGGACCAACAATCAAACATTTACCCTAGTCAGGTTTTTACTTTTCCCTATTCTCTGCATTCTTCAAAACATTATGTCCATGTCCACAGCTGCGAATAAGAAGCCAACTTCAGCCTGGCAAGCAACTCCTGTTGGTTTTTTATGCAACTGATGAAATACTGACCAAGGCTGTATGATCTGGGAGGAATTTCTAATTGCGATATTTCTAACACGATATTGCAAATGCAATTATTTTCTTTGAATTAAGCAATTTTTTTTCCCCAAGAACTCCAGCACATTCATTTCTTTGGGCTTGAATGCTGGATGTGCCAAAGTGCCAGTGCACAAGCTCTATTAGGTTTAATTTCTCTGCTCAAACATTAAGACAACTGAGAATAATGTAAAAATTAAACTTGCAGCTCTTGTGATTTGAACATCATGTGTTTTGTTTACTGCTGCTAACTAAAGTAAATAGTTCTCCCCTATAGGGGGTGGATGAATACAAACATTTCAAATAACGTACCATTTTTTGCATGTGATTTTTGGACTACTGTCCTGTTATTTACACTCTATGTGAATACGGATGACCAAAGAGGCCTATGAGTAATAGGTTTCACAGCATTTACTGGTGAACTTAAATGTGAACATTACATAATCTTACTGCAGCTATAGGAAAACCCCTTTTACCTGCTGCCCTGAAGCATTTTGGCTACAACAATAGAGATTAACATCCAATCCTTATGTCGCATTCGCGTCTAAGCAACCATAGAAGCATCACTGATATATATCAGTGCTAAGCATGCAAACATTACACTTACACTTACTAAAAGACTCTTAGTTTGAAATGTGTCATTCATTGAATGATAATTCAAATAAAGACTAGTTCAAGATGCCAATAGCAATACATTTTGCATTCTATCAGCACTTCCATCCCTACGTAGCACAACACTAATGAGAGTGTAGGGATCCATTTCAGCCATAGCCACAGTCTCTTAGTAGAGTCTGACACAGTTCAGTTCAGAGTAATATAGAAATAACAACAGCTCAGTGCATCATAATGTAAATATACTACATGTACAACAAAAACAACTCAGTTCAACATTATGTAGATGTATCATATATACAATAATTATAATAACACATGGTCTTTGCTTATTGGAAATTCTGATATCAAGATTCCCAGACATTTCTTTCCTGCAGATAGCATAGCTCGCCAGCTAGCAAGTTGCTTGTCATAAATGATTGAGTAGTACAAGTTGGTTAGAGCTCTACGTGTGGTTGGAGTCAGAGCTGCAGTTTCTGCTCTGGGTGTGGGTGGAGTCAGACGTGTAAGTGTTGTTCTTCTTTGAGAATTTCAGTGCACTGAAAGAAACCTTCATCCGTTTGGTTGTACGTTCACTACGACACATCAGCGAGTTCATCACGTGATCTCTGAACTCCTCAGAGATAAAATAATACACAAACGGGTCCAGGCAGCTGTTCAGGCTGCCCAGACACAGAGCAACGATGTAGATACCATAGACATGATTCTGAAGCCCTGCAGCCAGTAGAGAGTAATGCACCATCAGTGTGATGTTACTGGGAGTGAAGCAGACCAGGAACATCACCAGCACAGTAATCATGAGGATTATAGCCTTCTTTTTCTTCTTGTTGATGCTGCTGTCCGTTATGGACCTTCTGAGGGAGAGAAAGGTCAGCAGGTATGACACAATACAGACCACACAGGGAACTACATATCCCACAGTGCCCATGGTCAGGAAATATCCAACAGGGAAGTGTGTTTGATTGCGGCGTGTGACGTCATGGCAGGCAGTAATACAGAGATTAGAGACTTTAACCGTCTGGTCATACAGGTAGAGCGGTACAGTGATGAGCCATACTACAATCCACACACAAACACATATACAGACTGTTACACAGTTATTCAGTTTCTGAGAAAGTGGGTGGACAATCGCCCAGTAGCGCTGGACACTGATGCATGCTATGAAGATAGTGGAGCAGTACATATTCCCATAGAAAAACCCCACTAGGACTTTACACAGTGGCTCCCCGAAGGTCCAGTCATTGCCGTTGAAGTGGTAGGCGATCTTCAGTGGGAGCCACACGATGAAGAGCAGGTCAGACAGTGCTAGATTGGCCATTAGGATGGACGCTGGATGCTTCTTCTTCGTCCTAAAGAGGAACACCCAGATGGCCATGGCGTTGGTGGGCAACCCCACAACGAAGACGATGATGTAAACAACAGGGAGGAAGACTGTGGTGAGATCGCCTTTGAGAGCAGGTGCAGAAGCATTGCTCACTTTCACCCCCTCTGCATTCTCCTCCACTACATCCAACCCATAATAGATCCAGGACCTTTGATTGTCTGAGGGGGCTAAGGGAAAAATGAGATTTAATGTGAAACACAGTAAGCATCAATGATAGACAGAAAGGAAAAAAGAAATAATAAAAGTACACTTGGCAGCAAAACAAACACATTGGCAGAATTTTAATCTGGTGGACATTATTGGTCAACTTGCATAAACACATATCCTTTTGCAAACCCCTCCAGTTCAAATTAAAGTTCTTCACTATTAAACATCCTTCAAATAACCAACACATATGATTACATTGATATGTTTTATGCAACAACCTTTTAATTTGCTTCATAAGTACCCGTTATTTGTCTGATTACCACATCTGTTTATCTTCATAAATTCTTCTGGCCTTCAAAAGGGAACACAGTAGTTCAGGATGTTTAACAGTGGTGGACTCGTATTTAACTAGAGGGTTTTGCAGAAGGATAAGTGATTGTGCAGGATAACCAATGTGCAACCAGTACTTTAGACTATTGCTTCCTAATCCTGATTCTAGAGTACCCCCTGTCCTGCACTGGTTTCACATATTCAAACACACTTGACGCTACATCAGGTCATTTAAAAGCTCTTCCTGCACTGAAGTGGGTCCATAAGAGCTGGAAGACCACTAAAATGTGCAGGACATTGTGTACTTCAGAACCAGCATTTGGAATCTGCACTTTTTTTCTCAAACTAGTCCCAAGGCCCACCAGAGGGCCCACATTTTCACTGTATCACATTCTAAGACTCCTTAATCAAGTGATTCGTCGAGTCTCCAGTCTTTAGAGAAGAATTTTTGTTTAGTCTTGTTATTAGCTAAAGGCATTTTATTGTAATCTACACTTTATTTTAAACCATATTGGGGCTTTATATATGTTTATGTTTTGGTCTTGATTATGAAGTAAATATAATTCATGTTTTTTTGACAGCCAAAAAGTGTTAAATTGATAATTGTAAATGAACTTTAGTCTTAAATCATTAAAGATTAAAACTCTACTGTAGAATATTTAACACATGTTAACCTCTTAAATTCTCAGGCTTATAACATACGAAGGCTTATTATTTAGTAACTACAGGGACTTAAATGCTAACTGTATATATGCCATGAGTTGTGAAAGGATGCAATTTTCAACCTGGCTGTCTAGACATTGATGGCAAAAAAATCTCACTCTCCATGTGAGGAATCAAGTCTGAAGCTTTGAAGTCGACTCTTAATTCTCAAATACCTGAAACCAGAAAATCCACTCCTTGGGATCGACTCCCAGCCCTTACTGCTAGGGAGTCGGCAGAAATGAAAGCATTCTCAAAAGTTTTAAAAGGCATCCGGTTAAGAAAGAAACCCGAATATGCAAAAGTGAAGCCAACTTTATTGCAGGGATGACCTGTATGGCCTGAAACTACTGAAAAGCATGCAAAATAGAGAGAAGCGAAAGAAATACTACACAAAAATTCACAAAGTATGAATATGTATACGTATGTAGAAATAAGACTAGTCTCAGTTTTGAATCTAATGAAGTAGCATACCGTATACACATTCGGCTGTGCTGGGTGAATCCATTAGAACGAGAATCCAGAGATAAACCAACCGGCTGGTAATGACGGGCTTCCCAGAAGTGCAGACTCTTTACCTGACTTCCTTTATTTCCTGATCTCACATGTCCGCAGCTCTTAACTTGCCTGCAGCAGACAAACAGAGTCATGTGACCCTGATAATTACTGTTTTTTTCATTCTGAGGTAATCGCTTTAGTCTGTCACTTAGTCACTTTAGTCACTCCTTTCTTCTTTCTTTCTTCTTTTTTTTTTGCATGAACAGAGGTGAGTGAATAACTAGTTTCATTTTCTCAGTTATATGTCGACTCTTAGCAAAAGGGTTCTATTTAGTACCAAAAAGGGTTATTTGGCTTTTAACAATAGTGGAACCCTTTTGGTGCCATACAGAACCTTTTTCAAAAAGGTTCTATATAGAACCATCTACAGCACATTCTCCATCAAGAACGTTTTCATGATGCAAAGAACCTTTTACTCATGCAAAGGTTTCTTTGAGTGTTAGAACCATGTTCTTTACTAATGAACCCTTGAAGAACCATCTTGTTTAAGAGTGTAGTCAAGTACATTTTTGATGAATTTGTGTTTTACTTCTTCTCAAGTATATTAATCTGCTTTTTACTCAATTACATCTCAACATTGCATCTCCAAAATGGTAACTTTACAGGTGAGGGCAAAAACATTCTCTACTGTCAATGTAAGTTAATGTAAAGAGATTTTATTCCAAGCTATTTTGGAGCATTTCTATTGGTGTGTTCATCATGGAATTTACAATATAAAGGGCAGCCAATTTTGTCAAATTATGGAAAAAAATGAAAAAGATAAAAAAATGAGATTTTCCATTTATTTATTTATTTATTTATTTGGACCATGATGATATGTTAGAATGGTAACAGCATCTGTACTGTATTGTGATGGATCACAGTCCTAATCACATAGTACATAATTCTAAATAAAAAAAAATAATAAGAAGAATGCAAAATAGTTATTTATGGAAGTCCTGAAAGGAAAAAAACAAAATTGAAAGTGCGTTCCGGAATCTTAGTTCCACTTTTTTTATTTCTTCTGCCTATGTGTACAGCATACCAAACACACACCCCAAATTTAAAAAATACAGCATCACTTTTACAATTTCAGCCATCAAAAACCTTAAAAAATGTTCTTCCTCACAAGTTTTTCAGCTTTGACCAGCAGGGGGCAGCCGTTTTATACATTTGACATGCTGATGTTCAGTCCACCTATTAGCAGCTCCTCCACAAGGACATCAATTCCACCACAGCTTCACAGACTAATGTGTTTATTATTCAAGATTTTGGGGATTGTGGGATGGTTGTAGAAAAAAATATTGTTGTCAGTTACAGTTTAAAACCAAAGTAGTAGTAGGTGTTTTGTTTAGATGTAGCAGGTAAGGACGAAGAGGAAGAAGCACTAACCTGCCCTCGAAGAGTTTCAACACTTTACTGTAATTGGTTGATGACTGTTTTGCCACAAACATTAATAACAGTCCTTCCTTTTTCTTCTTAACTGTCATCAACCTTCCTATTACTGAGGTATTTTACTAAAATATTTATAGCATCATGCAGATCCGACTACATATTTTAGTGAAACAGTAAAAGGCAACTGAATGTGTATGTACACTCTTAAAACATATTGTTCTTTAAGGATTCTTTAGTAAAGACGACGGTTCTATAAAGAATCAAGAACCCTAACAGAACCCTTTGCATCATTAAAGGGTCCTTCAGATAGACAGATAATGTGCTGTAGATGGTTCTATATAGAACCTTTTTGAAAAGGGTTCTATATAGCACCCAAAAGTGGTCTTCTATTGTTACAAGTTTGACATTGTAACAATAGAAGAACACTTGCTATATTCTAAATAGAACCTTTTTTTTTAAAAAAAAGGCACATTCTGAAGAACCCTTTCATGATGCAAAGAGCCCTTTAATAATGCAACAGGTTCCTTGAGTGTTCATGGTTTCAATGAAACCATTATGCTTACTAAAGAGTGTATGATATTTTTATTTCTCTTATTAATATGATTTTGTGTTTTAATATTGACATCAATATTAAAGTCAATGGAACCAGACTTTTTTCCAAGTCATTTTGGGTCATTTCTTTTGGTCCATTCATCATGAAATTTACACACAATGTAAAAAAAAACAAAGCAACAGGCATTTTCAGATTATGTCAAAAACTGAAAAATGACAAAAATGGAGATACAAGGTTTTCTTGCGACAACAGCGATAGGCTGTGCTTATAGGCACGTCTAGCCCCTTTTGTTTAGCCTTTAGGTTTTTTTTAAATTCTAATCTAACTTTTAGTTTTTAATTTGATTATTTAACTATCCTAATTTCATTTCTAATTCGGTTTTTAATTTAATGACTTTCATTTTAAAATGTATTGTTTTAATCATGTTTTTGATGCTGTTCTTGATTATGTCTTTCTATTTGCATTGACTTGAGTTTTTTTTAAGCAACTTTGACTCTGAATTTTCTCATTTGTAAAGCACTTTGAATGACAGCAGGGTTTGAAAGGTGCTATGTAAATAAACTTGCCTTGTCTTGCCTTTTTAGGGGTACCCTTAGATCCTAGATGCTAAGATCCTAGAATCCTAGTGACTGGTTTAATCGCAACTGCAGACACATTAAAAACAAAACTGCGTCTGAATGAAACTTTCTGTTTGACATGATTGTTCTCTGGAATCTTGCTCAGGAGACGTGTCTAGACTGAGGTGTTATGTAACCCTATTCCATAAATAGTATTATGTATCAGATCCTACAGGGAGGGGGCTGTATTAGCACATACAGTGCCCTATAAACACGTAGTGGCTAGAAAAAGTATTTGAAATGTACTTTTTGGTAAGGGCTTATAGCAAATTTTTGTTTTGTCTAATCATATGAACGACTAATGTGTGAAGTGTATTTAAGCAATAGAACAGGAGAGGGAGTGTGTTATTGCGAAATAACATCACGGCTGTGATTTGGTCGCAGATTGTCCTCGAGTGTTCGAGTTCTTGAGTGTTCTATTGCTTTTATACAACAGTTAAATAAATAAGTAAATAAGAAACAAATAAACCGGGCCCTGAACGTGTCATTTAATATGTTTTAATGTTCGCAGTTCCTTCCGCCAAATTATAGTTCCTTAACAAGCAACTTTTTGCTACGGCAGAGTAATGAACTCCACTCACTCGCTGCACAGTCTGCTGTAAGCCTGTCCATGGACAGTATTTGGCCTGGTTGCCAGACTTTGGACACCCTTGCAGTAAGAGGTATGTGTGGATCAGGAACAGCAGTACTGCTGGAGTTTTTAACATGGTGTCCACACCCTGTCCACTTTATTAGACACACCTACATGCACCCTCTACCACCACACTACTACCTTCACCTACCTCTGTGATCTCTGTAACATGAAAACAATACAAATTGTAAGTTGCTCTGGATAAGAATGTCTCCAAATTCCATCAATGCAAATGGAAATGTAAATGGTTCACTCTGTAGATGTAAAGTCAGAGACGATAGCTCATCTGCTGCTGCACAGTTTGTGTTGGTCATCCTCTAGTCCTTTATCAGTGGTCACAGGACGCTGCCCACAGGACGCTGTTGGCTGGATATTTTTGGTTGGTGGACTATTCGTAGTCCAGCAGTGACACTGAGGTGTTTAAAACTCCAGCAGCACTGCTGTGTCTGATCCACTCAGACCAGCACAACACACACTAACACACCACCACCACCACGTCAGTGTTACTGCAGTGCTGAGAATGACTCGCCACCCAAATAGTACCTGCTCTGTGGTCCTGACCATTGAAGAACAGGTTGAAAAAAAGTGCTGCTGTGAATTTGCTTGATTCAAATGTGCCACATGAATAAAACACATCAACACAATTCTTGCCAAAAGTAAGTAAAATGAACTAGAGTAATTGTGTTGATGTAGTGTTTAAATTATGGGCACACTGATTTGCTGTATATATCATTTGAATCAAGTAAAATTAATTTTTTTAACTCTTTTTTTTTAGTAAACATGATGATTTCATGACATGCTCTGTCTGATTCATGAAACTGCGTTACGACGTGGAAACAAGTGGAGATTTGAATGCAATCAGCTTCAGTGCGTGAAAACAAGCACTAACCTACCAGCACCTCATTTACATCATTTGTATGAAGCACACCCTAATTCATGCAAACATTCCGGTGGGGGCCAATAAAAAAGACAGCATTCAGTCATGAGCCAATTGCTGTGATCGTAGGCAGAGTTTGAGGTGGAGCCTACTGACCACCTACTGACCAAACTGTATAGTGTTAAAATTCTGACCACTAAAAAGAATAAAATGTGAAATAAACTAAATATCTTAGTTTCTTTTAAGACTGTAGAATGATGTTATTGTGTAGTGTGATTATTGTGATCCTGCAATAGCATATTTACATGCTGTTTTATTGCAGTGTATGACATTAGCTGTGTTTCATGTTGTTTATTTTGTGAGTCAGTAGTAGAAAACAAAAGCACAGAGTAATATGTCTTTGAATGGAACATGGAATAGTTGCAGCATTTGTTTTGTACTGGCACAATAGGTGATATTAATAATAGATTTATTTTGGCAACTTTGATAAATAAAGACCAATGAGTGTGGATACAGGGTAGGTGGACACTGATGAAGTGGTCAGTGAGGGTATGTTATCTATAGACCTGAAATGAAAATGAAATTTGTGCAATGGTTCATTTTTGCTAAAAACAACCAGCTAATATGTCCAAACCTGCATCAGGACATGAGTGTACTTGATGAAATCTGGTTGCAGTTGTTTTGACTGCAGTGCTTGGCAGTGTCGTCACTGGAATGCACAGTTTCTAAGAGTGTACCAGGATGAAGTGCATCAGCTGTAACACAGACGAGGAAAACTTGGCTGGAAAGTTTGACAACGTTTTCTGGAACCTGCTGTACCTCAAAGGCGAGTCCAGACTGAGCAACTAGGCAGTGCTCAGCACATTTTCCCATGACACAACATTATGTGTCAGATCTCATGGTCTGCCAATATAGTAAAAAACAATTTCTCTCACACACACACACTATCTAAGCCGCTTATTCTCCTGGGTCGTGGGGGGAGCTGGAGCCTATCCC